TGTATATGTTTAAAAAAGTTAGGGCAAGAACTAATGCAAAAAGTAGGTGTTTATCTGTTAAAGGGGTAAATCTATGGTATAATTGTGATAAGGAATTATGTATTATTATTATTATGTAATTCACTCTGCAAATTCAAGAAAATTTATAAAAATAAGGTGATAAATAATTATATGACTCAGTATCAATAATTGTGAATGTATTGTTACAATATTGAAGTAATAGTTGTAATGTGTATTTTTGTTATGTTGTTTTGAATTATGTATATTTATTTGGGGTAATGTTTATGTAACATGTTTATCTTGTATTTCTTAGTGAAAAGCGTCGCTCATCAGTTAATTATGTATAAAGGGTAGGCATAATAAGCAAGGCTTCAGCCTACACCTTTTTCGGTAATTATGTTTATTTATTTGTTTTGTGAAAAGTTGTCTGTGAGGACCGAAATAAAATTATTGATTGATTGACATACAGTATAATTACAGTACAGTGCCAGTACATTAGATAATGTAAATTTCACTATTCTACATGTACAGTAAACTGTAGCACCTGTTGTACACCTTCAAGCGTGTGACTGTCAAATTGTATTTGTAACCATTTTTATGTGTACTGCATTTTTGCAGAACTGAGAAATGACTGGCTAGAGATATAGCTAGTCTTGTGTCAGGAGACCAAGAAACTGCTATAGTACTAATTTGGTGTACTATAGTCGCACCGGTAGTGACGTCATGGCTGTCGCCGGCCAACGAGTTGGTGTTTTTTCAATGTATGCTTCAGACACGGGTCACGACGAGGTGTTCCCCATAGCGACCCCTAGAGGACGCAGTTCGAAGTTCCCATGAAAGGGAATCACAGTACATGTAGGGTAAGGCTGGAAACCTCAGGTGAATGTGCTTGACCTTTGAGCCCTCAGCTGGCATTGCATGAGAAACCGTCATCCTGCGGTGTTAAATATAGCCACATGGGCTCAGGAGTACTTCAGAAAACCATTGTCATTTACCACAGTCTGCTTCTGCATCAAGAAATGCAACTTGAATATCTGTTATTCTAGGAGAAAGCTATACATCAATTTGGGTTCTCTGCGCCAGAGCTCATCTCAGACTGTCAACAAGGCAGTGGAAATATGTGCTGTGCTCAGATGAGTCCACATTTCAACTTGTTTCCGAGAAAAATGCATTCCGAGTTCTCAGTCCCAAAGACCAAAGGGACCATCCAGACTTTCATTAGCGAAAGAAGCAAAAGCAAATGTCTGTCATTATATGGGGGTGCAGCAGAGCAAACGGCACGGGTGACTGGAATATGTATGATGGTACCATATACTGCTATCAAAATGATATCTTTCACGGGAAGTCCAGGACTATTATACATTGTTCGAATTGAGGGGGGGGGGGGGAGTCTACGTTTCTAATGTATTCTCCCCTGGTT